TGAGGAAAAAATATGCTTCCTATTTTACTACCTTGTCTTAAATTAAAAAAGATGGGAATGGAGTTGGGGTAGAACATGGTATCATATTCCTGAAGTAGCAGATGAAAAACTAATTGAAATTTTAGGACTAAAGTCAGTAATAAAACCTTTGAAATTATCTGCTGGAGGACAAAACAATTTTGTATTTGTAAACTTAAATAGTGTTTTACTTTCTATATATAACCCTTTCTCAATGTATATGTTCATGTATTACTGAACTGGTGAGATGGCAGCAATGTCCATTCTCATTCTTCTTGTCTTCATTTTTCATGTTAGCTGAAACAGTATATGAAAAGGTTTAAGAAAAGGGTTTTATCATAGTAATTTGGCTTGAATTAGCCACTTATGTGAACGGTGCCATAGATATGTGAAGAAGATTACACTAGAAGCTGAACACTCAGTGTGGGAGCTACATGACACAGCTCAAGGGCATAATACCAGGTATATAGATTTTAACCTTTCCTTATTTCTCATTCCCCAGTGGTTGTATGATCTTTATTTCTGAAGTACGTGTAGAATGAGGACTTGCTTACTGCATGCAAATTAAGTATATTTTACAATCCTCTGTGCCCTTTTCCGTATTGTTACATGTAGCAATGTCTTCATAGTTTAAAGCCAGAAAATTATTAATCTTTTCAGCAGTGCTGGGTAGTTGCTAAGAAAGCCAAAGATACAAATCCAAAGACCTTGTGTGGGGGTAATTAGGCTATGAATTTGAGCATCTGTGCTTATAAGGGGCTTAGACGTAACCTTCTGTTCTACCACGAAACCTGTTAGGAAAATTGAGATTTTAGAATCAAGAAGTGCACTTTTGCTGGGGCACTTGAACTTTAAATTCAACATTTGATCATATTGGGTTGGTGTATGCAATGTCCAGATGTTTGTTTTTTTTTTTCTTTTTGCTGTTGAGGCTCTTCTTTCCAAGGTTTTGTTCTTTGTCTGCAGTCTTTCCACTCATTATTTGCTTGGCATCTTAAGGTGTGGATAAAGTTTACACCCACGGGTAATGGCTAATATGTGGCAGAAGCCTTAAACAGATAGGTAAAGAATAATTAGAGAAATTTCTGTGGCATGAGGATTGAAAATGAAAGAATAATTAAAGAAAAAGCATGTATTAGTATAAGGATGATAATTATTACCGGCTTTGAAACTTACAGTAAGTCAATTCACCTTCATCAGTATGTGTCATGCAAAATTCACCTGACAAAAAATGTTCCTTTATTGGCCTCATAGAATTGACATTAAGGATTCTTAAGATACCATGCTGACATGTTGGTTTCTTCTGTTCATGTTCTTTGAATGACTTTTGTGCTGCTGAAACTGATCATTCCCTTGTGCTAATCTTAATGGTACTGGAATATGTTTACGCAGTTAAGAAAAAGAAATTTCTGTTTTATGTTAATTGTTGTTGATATACTAATATGACCCCAATTTTCATCCTCATTCATCAAGGACAAATGAACTCAGCTTTTCAAAGCTGTGATTCAGTGAAACACTCAAGTATGTACTTAACTTTAACCATGTATACTGTGCTGCTACTGCTTGCTAAAAGTACACAGATGCGTAAATGTTCTGCTGGATGTAGTAACACTTAACTTTAAAGAAATATGGAATGTTTTGCTGCCTGAAGCCCTCACAGATAAATCATCTGCCCACTATGATTCAAACTTTCGCTGCTGTTGCATATACTATGGCTAGCCTGAGAACCCTTAGACAGCGATGAGTCTCTGACCATAAATATTAGCCGCATGACTCATGGTGACAAAAGTCAGACTGCATGTGCAGTGAGAAACAGCTCTGATTATGACAGGATGGGTTAGAATACATTCAGAATGATCTCAATATCAGCCATTATCATCTTCTTGACACTTTGCTTTCTCATCCTTCCCCCTCTACTGTTGGTTGTTATCACACAGATTGTCACATCTAAAATTAGTGCTTTGAGAAAAGAGCCAGATCTTCACACCCTTAGCATATAATAAAGTGTTATAAAAATACTTAGTGTTAGTTTTACTGTTTTAAAATATGTGTGACAGATCATAAGAAAAAGACCACCCCTCCTTGGGTTCCTCCATTAGCTCCCTTCAACTGTTCCTTTTATAGCTCATGGCAATGTAAGTCATACAAATGGAGGAGGTTAAAATTAGGAGCTTTACTCTACTGAAGTCACTACCTTTAGTTTTGTGCAGGTTATCCAATAATTTATTTAAAAAAACATTAGAAAACAGTAAGACAAAACAAAAAAGAGTCCAAGGGCATGTGCTTCCCTTCACCACTATCAGTGATCACTAAACACATTTTTTACTCTCAGTATTCCTGTGATGCCAACTACCTAATTGGCTTAATTAACCTCTTTTCTAGCATGTATTACTCTTGGGATACCATGAAATGAAATGGAGGGCAACTGGGCACCTGTTGATATGTCCCATTTTGATGATTCTCACCAGTGAGTAATTCCTTGTAGTAAGTCAGATTGTTCAGAACTAACTTTGCAGAGGGATGAGCTTTAAGAATAAACTACAAGGCAGAATAGTTAAAAGACAATTCACTTTACAACAAAGTTATTGAGTTACAGTATTTCACTTTAAACCTTGCTTTTGTGTGTTACCTATTACTTAATTCTTATGAGTAATAGTGCATTATCTTCTTCCTGGATTTACAACAATGACGTTACTATGGCAGTTATAATCTGAGGAAGCATTCCCCTCAGACATAGATCTTTTTTGCATTCAAAAGTTTACAGGTTTTATTCTGTGAAGTCTGTCAAGCACTTTGAAAGAAGAGTGGATTGTCTAACGTGCAGGTTATATGCACGAGACAGACTAATTATGCTAACCTTTAAATATTTAAGATAAAACTTTTCAATGTAAACATTTGAATCATGATAATTTCAATAGGGAATGGAGCTCTATCACAAATAAGATTAGTTTTTGTACTATTATACAAACCAAATGCCTATTCCCAAATGCTTGCTGTCTGTACAAGGAAATCTAGTTTCAGAGAAAAGGAAAGGTTACCCTTTCTCTGAAAGGATAAGCACTGTGAAAAAGGATGGCTACCCTGCAGATGTTGATTCTACTCAAATTTTGATTTTTGAATACTGACACTTTTCTTTTTTTGAGAGTTGAGCCTTACAAACATCAGCCAGTCAGCAAAGGTCATAAGCATATGTCCAGATTTGACCTAAGTGGGAACATTTACCTGCTTATTTTATAGACAGCTAAACTCTGCTCTGAATTATTTGCTGAACTCAGAGCCTGCACTCATTCCCCTTGTGAATTTACCTTTTAACTTCATTAGGAAGAAGATAAGATACTCTGGTGAAAGCTTTTGTTTTTAAAAAGAGCAATTAAATTTTTCTGTTTTTCTTTCATGCTACTTCAGAACTTGGTTTATAAAACAAGGCTGGTGATTGAGGTCAGCTGCTACAATCTTTAGCTGCTGTTTATTGTGATCTACTAAAAGAGCATTTTCTAAAAGTCATAGCTTTCCCTTTTCCCCCTGTGTCCTGAGTTACCGGCTGGGCTTAAACCACGACACCCTATAGGCATTGCATTTTTGTATGGTTGAGGCTGGTTTATTTCTGACTCTTTTTTTTTTTTCCCTTAGATGTGAAACGTTTTAAATCAGCTGTAGAACAGTCTGTGTCCTACCAGAGTAACTGAAAATTAAAATGGTCTTTCACACTGAGGCTGAGGTAGTGTTTCTGTTCTACCTTTTTACCTCAGTCCTGAAGCAAAGCCTGTGAATTCAGATTTATCCACTATTATACTGTTCTGCTGAGTAGAGCTAAAAAATAATAATTCTGTCTATTTGAGACAGTGTGTAGTCAGCCATCACCATATTAGCAAGTTTACAGTTTGACTGCTTATTTAGATTATATCCCAGTTATGTAGAATTAGAGAGCAGATGTTCCTGGTATAACCTGATAGTAATTTTTACTTTATTTTCTAATTTCTATTCAAGGATAGATGATTTGATGAAACTAAGGCCTCTGTCAAACCTCAACGCTACTCTACCTCAAACTGATCCCTTGACCTGAAAAAAGGAACGAACAGTTCTGCAGTAAAATTATTTCTTTGTGTGCTGTAACTTAGCTGTATTTAGACGAATGCAGAGCACCAATAAGATCCTTTTGAGTAGTCTTTTTTGTCCTTGCTAAATTTTTTCTATCGTTGGAAATGAATTTGATAGCAGAATGAAGTATACATTTTGTAAGAGAAAATTGGATTAGAGGCTTGTGCCAGTCACAAATTATAGTATGCTGAAAACATTTGTAATGAGAATTGAGATGTACAGGGTGATAATGAGGAAGTAGAGTTCTGAAGGCAAAGGTATGGGCACCAAACTTGTTTGCAGCATGTGATAATTTAAGAATTTGTTGTGACAAACGGTTTTTGCATATATCAGTAGACATGCAGTTGGGAAATAGAGACTGAAGTAAAATTAATTACTGGTTGTTGCTTTGATTTAGTGTTGTTGCTGTTTGATTCTTAATTGCCCTAGATTGCAGTAGGTATCAAAAAATGTTCAGTGCATAGGCCTTTTTAATTCTATAAATGCCTAACATTCTGTGCGGTCTACTGGTTAAACATCAACACAGGCACATGGACCAGATGGCATTGTATTTCTCAGTCTGAGCGTAAAGAAGCCAAGGGATTTGGTCATATTAAATTATCCTCTTTTTTGGCTGCTTTAACTGTTCATTATTTTAATTGTCTACAAAGGTGTAATTTGTGTTTTTAATAGTACTTTTAAAGAACTTTTGATTCAATGTATTGTGCATAGGTATTAGTTTCATTATCCATATCCGTACTGTTATGATAGACTATGATGTAACCGTAACTTCTTCCTGAGATGTTGGATGCTGTACTAAATAATAAAAAAAATATGAGGGTGTTACGGGGAGTTTTGCTATGTCTGTGTATAACTGTGTCCTTACTTTCCCTCTGGTTTTACAGGGCACAATGACTATATGTGTCCTGCTACTAACCAGTGCACCATTGACAAGAACAGAAGAAAGAGTTGCCAGGCTTGCCGACTAAGAAAATGCTATGAAGTGGGAATGATGAAAGGTGGTATGTACACAGCAATCCACAAATCCTCAACATTGGTGTCTGCCTTGTCTTTTAACTTTATTGGACAGCTGATATGGTTCTTAAAAGAGGAAGCAACTGATTTTATTGAGAGGAAGTGTATTGAATCAAAGCGCTGTTTAAAAAAAAATAAAAACCTTCCAAATACTATGTTAATAATCTTGCCCAAATTTGCATCAAAATTCATAGGAACATTGACTTCAAGGGGATTATGATTCTTCTGTTAATATTTTTAATTCATGACGGTTTTGGTCTCTTGTGGTAGAGTCTGTATCATGATAAATGAAACTTAGCCCAGAATTTTGTAGCATTTGGCAGTTCAGCGTGAAAAGCACTGGTAGTCTCAGATCAGTCCATTTTCATGAAAACTTCTGAATATGTAATGCTTTTTCTGCATATTCTGGAAGGGAAAGGCAATTCCTCTATGCCAGTACTGCACACATCTTACATGTAAATTAATTTCACCCAACAATATTAAAGTTTCACTCATTTTATAAAAACAGAAAAAAAGCCACTTTCTTGAAACTTATGTATGTAATAATGTTGTCAGGGAAGAAGAATCAGACAGGGTGATCAGAGGGCTGGAGCAGCTCTCCTGTGAAGACAAGCTAAGAGAGGTGGTTTTGTTCAGCCTGGGGAAGAGAAGACTCTGGGGAGACCTTATAGCAGCGTTCCAATACTTAAATGGGCCTACAAGAAATCTGGAGAGGGATTTTTTTACAAGGGTTTGTGACAGAACAAGGGGGAATGGGTTTAAGCTGTCACTGGGGCGATTTCAACGAGATATTAGGAAGAAATTCTTTACCATGAGGGTAATGAGACACTGGCACAGGTTGACCAGAGAAGCTGTGGCTGCCCCATCCCTGGCAGTGTTCAAGGCTGGGTTGGATGGGAATTTGAGCAACCTGGTTTAGTGGAAGATGTCCCAGCCCACGGCAGGGGGGCTGGAACTAGGTGATCTCTAAGATCCTTAAAGTAAATAAAATTCCTTTATTTATATAGCCAGTATTTAAATTTTAGAGGCAAAATTAGAAATACATGACGATACTGAACAATTGCTATGGTGTGTTCTTAGATGGAAGAGTTCTTTTGTAACATAGTTTTAGATCAATTATGATATGTACCTTTCTTCTCTATGTTATAGTACCTGGTGTTTGTCAAAAGCAGACGGAAATTTGTGGTTTATTTGTTTGTGGTTTTGTTTGATTTGGACTTTTTTGTTTTCTTTTGTTTAAACTAAGTTCCCAATTTACAGACAAGCAGATCAGGTGCATAAATTCTGCCTGCTCCTACAAGACCACTAATAGTGGACTGAAGTCCATTACTGGTTCATAGGCAAGACTAAGAATATTTATTTTATGAAGTCTGGGAAAAAAATCTTGAGGTCCCTGAGTTACAGGTTATAGATTTGGTATCCCTGTAAATAAGATATCCAAGAAAGGTAAAGTTGATCAATCTCTCTTTCTGAATAAAATTAAAAGACCTTAAAATTATATGTTATTAATAGTCTATGCACTCCTGTTTGTATGTGAGGATAAAATGCTTACATGGAATAAGCTCCTTGTCATGTCCCTCTTTCTTCTGGTTGGATAGCAGGGAAGAGTAACCTAGGTTTTGTTTGTGATCCACTGATGCTTTCTTGAAGATGGTTTCCGTTCTGCTTTGAATTCTGGAGAATTATATTCCAGCTTATTATTTCATGTGATAAGGGCAGGGGCCCAGCTTCCAAATGAAGTTTTTATAGCACTGGCAGTCCTGAAGCTCCAACCATACCTACAGTCCAGGCGATCTGTGCACCAATACAGGTCTAGTTTTCCATTTCTTCATTGCTTTAATGGTTTTCTAATGGCTCAAAAAGACCTCATTGCCTGAAATCAAAATCACCTTATTTTTATTGTAATTTATTAATTAAGTAATAGAGTGGTAAAATAATTATTGTTAGCAGGCTACTTTCTTCCCCTCCTTTCATAAATGACAAAGCAGATTAATCATCAAGTGCTCCATGGGATCAGAGCAACAGAGTGCCAGTGGAATTAGTGGCTATGGCAAAAGTTTGTCATAATGTTGAATGATAGATCCTTAATGAAATATTAGTTATGTTCCTGGTAGTCTATGTTTAGCTACCCTGAGACTTACATAGTTCTGCCAGTTGTTGAAGGCTGATGGTTTACCAGCTTCAAGTTGTGTGAAATCTGGCAATCAAGGATTTGAGTGCTCATATGCTAGATCAAGGTGATGGTTATGTATGTGACCCAGGGGTATTTACTGTCTTTGAACGGTCTGAAATTTCATGTTGTAGAGAAAAGATTCCAAGTGTTGTTTCTTGCGATAATGAAATTGCAGCATTCCAGCGCATTTGAGGCCCACACCCTTCAGTGTTGCCCTCACAAAGTATCTGAGAACCCTTCAGAGATTACTTCAGTAGACTAGGAAATACAAGTTGGTGTTTGCTGTAACAGTGTGCTTTCCTACATGACAGGTCCTTCTAGAAATGTTCATTAACTCATAGTGATTAGAGTCTAGAGCTTGGAGATTTTCAGTTTTCCTTTATATTCTCTTGAAATAGTTACCTACCAGTAATCACATGGGAATTCAGTCTGATTCAGTGTGACAATATTGCTGGAGTTTAAGGCTAAGTTTTACAGTGAAAAGAAAAAAACATTTGGCAACTTTGGAATCCACTCAGAGAAGGACCTTGCTGATTTTTGACTTTGAATGTAGAGAGCTATGCTTCCTTGCTGAATGCTATATTTGTTCATGCGAAGAGGCTAGAGAGCTATTAAAATCATTCTCAAAAGCAGAGGTAAATCGATGTCTGATGCAATCACTGGAAGGGCTCCAGACTTTCTAGTTCTCCATGTCATTATCTTTTAATGAAATACTGTATTAAAAATAGGAATTAGTGAATGAAGGAAAATGCATTAACAATGTGAAACTATTTTGGTTTGTCTGTGGACAGCCTTTATGATATTTATTAGACATACTGTTCTGTACTCAGCCAAATAACTCTGTAGGTGGGGCCTGATAAATGTATGAGGAAATGTACATTTTCAAGATGTAATTGGTGGGCTGAAAACATGTACTCAAGCAGCATTTGAAACAGTTTTCTGAGTTTAGAACAGCCTTCTGGAAAAGAAGACGGAATTGCAACCAGAATTTTCAGTGAAATTATTTTTTTCCCTTTTGTACACATGCAAAGTGTATTGTTGCCTTTGATTTGTCCCAAAGTATATTCTATGGTTCTGTCCCCAAAATAAGAGAGACCATTGCTGTGAACACTTTTGCCAAAAATTTTTTATCTTCCTATTCCACTGCACAGAATGATCTGGGCTAGAGGGAACTCCAGGTCTCTTGTCAAGCCACCTGCTCAGAGCAGTTTCAATACTGAATTTAGACTAGGTTGTTTAAGACCTTTGATATTCAGGTGGAAATGGGACAACCTGTATTATGCTTATTTATGCTATAGCTAGTTATGTAATTTCTTTTTAATATTGCAGAATTTTTGATGTTTTACTCTTGAACACTTGCTTCAGATTGTAAACCTAATTTTATCTGTATACTTGTTTGCATTAGCTTTTTGGCTTTTGTATATTTAAAAATTCCTAGTAGGGAATTATTTTAGTTGTGGTATTACTTGGGAATAGATACTGCAATGAAACAGTCCACATTTAAATTGCTGACTAATTTTAAATGAAGTCTAAGTTCCTTGCTGTGTCTCTACCTCTGACCCCCACTTGTTCATGTTACAGGTACGTCAGGGTGTCACTGTGTGTTCACTGGTTTTGAGAAACCCATGCAGGTCAGACAGCTGCTGTCTTCTAGCTGAGCTTCAGAAATTCCTAGAGTACTAGAGCTTCTGGCACTTTATTTGGTTAGGCATTTACCTGATATAACAGGCCAAATAGCTTCAATAGCCTAAGTAATATATTTAATTTCTAAAATGTAGCTGTTACACTTTCTCATTGGCTTTAAGAATTCTACTAATGGACTCCTAAAACGACTTGGCTTTTCCAAATCAAGGTTGATGTATGGTTTCTGTAAAGGCTTTCTTGTGACCCTTGAAATATCTATGGCTTCACTGTAAATTTTGCCTAGTAATGGAACTGTTGCCATACTTACTGTAGCCAAAACTGAGTATAATTTGTGCAAGTGTCAGCACTGTGAGATTCATTTGAATGATAGATCAGTTGAACTTCTCAATTGAACTTCTCTTGCTTCTCTTTTACATGTCCTCTCACGCTCTTTAAAATGCGTGCTATGAATACCAAAGATTGAATGCCAAAATACAGATTAGGATGAATCATGTCTTGCACCTTCATCTGCTATTAGTATATCATTGGTTCTCAAACAGTGAGTTATGAATAGTCATTAGAGACCCCAAATTATATTTGCCTGTTTGTTAACTTTTTTTTTTTCACCAGGTCTTTAAAAATTTTACATGAAATAAAATTTTATCATCTACATTGTAGCTGAGAAGAATATTGGTGCACTGTGATATGTAATATGACTTACCACTGTGCAAACTGGTGATAGAGCCAGAAGTTGAACCAGCCCTGGTGCCTGCATCCCCCCCACTGCACCTTCTCTCTCCCTCTCTCTCTCTCTCTTAATTGAAGGTAGTCCTGATTATAGAGGAGGAAAAGCCTCAACTTGGGAAAGGATGATGGACATTTCTCAGAAAAAAAAACCACCACAAAACCTCCAAAAAACCCAAACACCAAACAAACACACAAAAAAAAACAAACAAAAACCCATTAAAAAAGTTCCCCCTCCCAAAAAAATTAAAAGCAAAAACTGAAACAACAAAACCCCCCAAAAACACAAAACCCAACCAAAACCAAAAAAAACCCCACATATGTCCATACAGCATTCATTAACCACTGAGGAGTAGAAAAAATTACAACATCGAAGTGTACAGACCAAACTCAAATCTGTTGTTTATTTATACTACTGAGTGCCTAAGTAGCTTGGTCAGAAACGAT